GTGAAAGAGGAGCATAGCATGTGAACACCATGCTGAACTGCCTTTCCCCTTGCCATTTAAATATTCCAGGTTAAGTGCAGCCCCAAAGTGACATGTACAAGCCAGAGTGCTGACATTCCTGTTTTCCACCATTTGTAATTACCTCTGTTTCAGGCTGGATTTGTCTGAGAATTTGTGAATGGCTCCTAAGTTCTTATTCATCAGTTGGGTTAATATAAGGAGAGGACGTTTATATTTCTTGCTTATCGTAAAACATAGGGTGAGCCAAATTATATGGAAAATTTAAAAAGCAAGTGCAGGCCTGCTTTAAGTTAGGAGGAATGATTTATTTAAGCTGGGAATAACAGCTGAGCACTGACAAGAGTGCAGTGATGCTAATTATGTTGATGCTTTATTAATGGCCTCAAGGTGAGGAACGTGTGTTTCCTTGTCTGTCTGTAAAATCAGTCTGTGCTTTCCACACAAAAAGGCATTGGGATTAAGTGGTCATTTCCTTGGGAGGACTCTGACTGCTGCTGCTGCACTCCCTGTTCCCATCCTGACATCTGGAGAGCTTCAAGTACGACTGGCACAGACACTCCTAAGATCAAGGTCAGATTGTCTGCAGCATGAATGACAGAGAGTATTAATTTGCCCACAGATGTGGCAGCACAGATGAATAATCTCCCTGCACTTTAACCATACATCTGGCCATTCAAAAGACTTAATTAATTGCAGCACCGAGATTCCTGCATCAAGTGGCCCTCTCAGAGGCCTGCAAGGGACAGTCCAACACTGTGTATTGCCTCTGTGCTGTATGCCTTCACCAGGGGGTTATAAATTAAAGTTTTCCAGGTTCGTTTCTTTCAGGCTCATGCCAGAAAAGAGATAGTTTTGTTTAAATGGAAGTAAATAGTTCAGTCCATTTTAATTTTTACCGCTCCTAACATTAGTTTCTGCTGGCTGGTGGCTAAAGACTGGCATATTCTGAGGTCTTTTTGCAGAACCTGACGTTAAAAATAGAATTAATATGCAGTTTTGGAAAAAGTCACTGTTGGCAGACTGGTTCTGTTCAAGTTGGAAAATATTTTACCTATTGATTTCAAAGAAAAATGTTAGGTCCATGGTGGGAGTTCTTAAAAATCTACTTCTGACTATATTAGAAACATTTCTAAAAGCTTATCCACCAATTTAGCTTTCAGAGTAGCATGTCATACCGAGACTTTCACCTTTTGACAGAGTTCCCATTTACTCATCTTGACAGATCTAGACAACAAGCACAAAAATGACCTCTTAAATATTTTCCTTAAGTACTAATAAGCAGATTTGGATGTCAGACTATACAGATACTCACTATTTACCTTCACTAAAACTTTGCAAAAGAAACACTGATGTAAAAGTAAGTTTAATGAAATTATTGGGCATTCGATGGAAATGAAACTTTAAAAAGATAAAGTCTGTCTTACAAACTATCAAATATAACTAAGATATCTTCAAGCCTGGCCAGCCTTCTTTAAGAATTTCTGCATTTCTGTTGCTGAAAGTACTGACAGTGAAATATTTGCCGTCAGACTGTAGAACAAGTAATTGTTGACATGATTTGGAATGGATTTTGCTTGAGAGTAAGGATACAGGAGCCATCTGGTATTTTCAATTATTGCATACAGGCATATTTGTGTGAATGATCTTTTTTCTTATACCTTTTCAGATTAATATTGTTACTGTTAATTTTCTTATCTCATTGCTGTTTCCAGTAAATTGTTCTTATCTCAGTCTGTGACCTTTGCCTTTTGTGCCTCCATTGGGGGTGGCTGATGATTTGGGGAGTCTCCAGGAGGGCTCTGAGCTGGGGAGTGCCCATTCCTAAAGCTCCCCCAGCCACACCCAGCCCCACAGAGCTGCTCCTCACTCCCCCACCAGTGGGCTCAGGGAGAGAATGGGAAGAGTGAAAGGTAGAAAACTCATGGGCTGAGATAGGGACAGTTTAGTAGGGAAATCAAAAGCCACAGACACAGAAGGAAAGGAAAAAATGGAATGAATTCCCTGCTTCCCAAGGGCAGGCAGGAGCTCAGCCTTCTCCAGGAGAGCAGGGCCCCATCACAGGTGAGGTTTGGGAAGACAAACACCACCACCCCAAATGTCCCCCTTTTCCTCCTCCTTCCCCACAGTTTCTGTGACATCCCCTGCTCTGGAATGTCCCTTTGGTCACTTGGGGTCACCTGTCCTGGCTGTGTCCCCTCCCACCCTCCCAGGCACCCCCAGCTCCCTCTCCAGCGTGGCTTTACCAAAAGCAGAGAAGGCCTTGGCTCTGTGCAACAACAAAAACATCTCTGTGTTATCAACCCTGTGTCCAGCACAAACACAAACACAGCCCCACAGCAGCCACTGCAAAGAAAATTAACTCTAGCCCAGCCCAAACCAGCACACCACGACACCTCAATACACTTTTGACTCTGTTAGTGACGGTTCCAGATTCCAGGTTCTGAACTGTTTTGTTTGCAAAATGAAAATATGTGATGCATCTGTCTGATGGATGAAATGAGACCTGTATGATTTTTGTTTTCACATGCAATCTAATTTGTGACAGATGTGGACACAAGTCTGGACAGGTTCCAATGTCTATAATTTAAATAAAATATTAATGAAAATCATTATTCTTGTCCACAGTACTCTTATATTGCAACTATTTCATTATCATGGTACTGGACCAGGCTAAAATATTGTCTTATTTGATGGGATTTGGCCATATAATGCATATATGGCTCTGGTGGGTGTACCAGTTATGTGAGAAAAAATTATGAGAGGAAGAAGAAAACATGCAATTTAAAGGATGATAAAGTTGGCAGGTGGACTCTTGACTTTTTAAATTGGCTTATTATGACACATAACAGAAGTGCAATAAAATTGTTTTTATTATTTGAAAATGCACAAGAGACAATACAGATCTGTGTTTGAAAACATTTTTTTACATTCTTTTTTACTACAAGCTACTTTGTCTTGCAATTGTAATCCAAAATTCTCTAATTTAGAATGGAATAATCGCTGATATTCATAATATACTTAGTTTGAACTGAAATTGACTCATCTTTAAAACAGAAATGAGACCAAATGTAATTTATCTATTACTTTACCACTTTGAAAGCTTCACTAGACCAAAGAAAACATCCATGCACATAAATCTTATAAATAAAATCAAGAGAATCAATACCTTTCAGTAAAAAAGCTAAAAACTACATATGTTAAAATATCTATTATCTATTACAAGACAGATTCAGAGTAACAGGCAAATTCTCCTTAAATAATCATGTCTGTATGGGTCTCAAAAGCAGACATGCCAGAAAACAACTACTTCATTCCTCTGCCTCGTGCTGAATTAGTTTTTTCTGTCATTCCTAACAGATTCCACATGTTCTATAAAACCTGTAATCATCACTAATCCACAGACCCCACACCCTTCCTTCATTCCCTCTCTCCTTCTCCAAGCACCCAACAGTTTATTTCAGTGCCCAGCTGTCTGTAGCTTTCAGAAGATTTGCTTGTGACTACTCTGAATCTTGCATGGGTTGTTCTGTTCTCTTTGGACGTGGAGAACTGACCTTTTCTGTGTAACAGTCTTCAAACATGTAAAATGTTCTGCTAATATTCCCCCTAAGTGTACCCTTCCCTAAGCAAAACAACCACATTTATTTAAATATTTTCCTCCTAAGATGTTTTTTAGGCTTCTCTCCATTCTTATTATTCTTCTGTCAATTTTCTCCAGTTTTAAAATGTGCCGAAGTTCTGTCAGAAATAACCACTCAGCCAAGGCCCTACCATGTAGAACTGAGTGGTGGAGGTAGGTTGTGTCTTGCAGGCTCTGCTCCTTGCATTCTCACTTTTCTGCAGCACTGGGATGCTGTTGACTTAACTTTGCTTGTACACCACCATGCCTGCAGTGCCAAACTGCAGCTGATTCCATTGTTTCCATTCTGTGTCTGTGCAGGTGATTTTTCTGATGAAGAACGGAATATTTTCATTTTTTCCCATGGGATTTCATCCTGTAGGCTTCACATAATTTCCTCAATAACGTGAGGTAATTTCCCATTCTGACTCAGTCAGTTCTCCAGCTCACTTCCAGACCACTCCAACTTCATAGTGGTATTTGCAGAGTTAGGTTGCTGCAGAGTCCTGTGAAATTCCATTCTCTGAAGGGACTCCTGTGGACGGCTTTCAAGGCACATTATTCACACCATGTTTGCACTACTGGGGTCAGGTGCCCCTACATTCATCCCTAAATCATTTTTGAGACTCCTACGTTAAATGATGCTAAACATTTTACTACATTCTGCACTCAGGTGAAAATAGAGAGCTGATGATTTTTTCAAGTTAGCCAGGTATGAACTAGAGTTCATGTTATTTGTGTTGCTGTGACAATGAGGCTGAACTAACAAGCCTTGCTGAGAAAGTACAAGCATTCAGGTGACATTCAACCTTTGAACATAGATTTTGGCTCTTAAATATACATGCTGTTATTATTTGCAGTGCATAATGACTATATGAAATATTCTGCAAAGAAAAAATCAGTTAGGATCTCAGCTGAGAGAGGTTTACAATCCAGCTAATAGAACCACAACCAGCAGCAAGGCTTTTAAAAATAAGTGTGTTCTTAGGAGAGATGAAAAGCAGGAAATAATAAAGACTTGAAACTTTTTGAAAGCACAGAATAGCATAAAATAATCTATGTGAACCAGGCAGTGGAAATACAGGAATATAAATAATGAAGTTGCACTAAAGAGGAAGAAGGGTGAAGGGCAGAAGAAATTGGAAGCAGCATTTTTTATAGACCTGTGAAAATTATTTTAAGGCAACTGATAGGTTATGTAAGGAAGGCCTGAAGAGGAGTTTAGTCAGTAGCTCTTCATTTTGGCCTAAAAAATACTTGTTTCAACGCTGGCAGTTTCTAAATCTTCCATTTAAACCTGAACAGTATACCTTTACTTATAAGGGAACATTTAAAGCCAAACTGCTGTGTCCAGTAGCCTTCACTGGTTGCTTCCATTCTGACTGAAGGAGCAGTAGGATGGCCCCAGTCCCCTCACAGTGCAGTCAGTGGTGTCAGTGTCACAGCTGTCACAGTGGCACTCTGTAGCCACTGGGTATGAATAAAATGATTCAGGATGGTCACCACAGCCAGGGATCTTCACTGTTTCATACACAACCTCCTTGAAGGTACAGGTTTGCTGAGCAGTTGATACTGGTGGATATTTGTATACTGGATCCTGAAATTACAAGAAGGAAAATGTTTTAAAATTTGTTATGGGATTTCAGTATTTTTATAAAATGGGAAAATCTCACTGAGATCAAAAGCATTTGGGTCTGACTCTTCTAATTTTACTTAGATCTTTAAATTTCCCCTTTCAGGGAGACTGATACGGCAAATTTGTGTCATACCATCATCAGACAATCTTTCAGGTCAATTGATTGATTCTTCAAATTATTTGAAAGAGCAGAGGAGTCTACATAGTAATGGCTGCTTTATTTTATCTGCTTGCAAGCAGAAATTGAGCACAAAGCAGAGATCCAGATTGTAATCCTTCTCACTCTAGCTATACAATACGAACATAATATATGCAGCCAGTTAATTAACTGGATTTTACTACGATATTTCACCCTTCTGTCTGTGCTTCAGATTGGCTGTGTATCTTCTCCTGTGTCAGATAGCACAGCAGTTATTCAGCCTATTCTTTCAAAAGGCTCATCCTGTCTATGTGTTTGCTACGGGCTGCAGGAATGGGTTATCCATAGATCACTTAAATATTGAATTCTGGTGCCTGAAATTAAGAGTCTTACCCTTGTGAAGCAGTATCCTGAGCACCACGTGGCATTCACTGTAATGCAGAATTCACATTCTTCTTTTTCCACGGCTATGGTAATATTGGTGAGCTGGCAGCTGTTGCAGCAAATTGCTTTCCAGCAAAGTAACAGCACGTAACAATTAAGTGTCTTCATCCTGTCTATAAAGCAAAAAATATATCTCTACTGGAGAAACATGTATAGTTATTTTTAACAGAATCATCAGTGAGAACAGAGACATTGGACAGATCTTCCTTATGTTTACTGTTAAAGGAGTTTGATTTTCCTAAGCAACTGAAGTGGCATGTCATCAGTCTTTGCAGAATGATAATAATAGCACAATACCATACTTTCAATGAAATATTTTTATCTAAGTTTCTGTAGAGAGAATGTAACCTGCCTTTAAAGACGAAGAAGAAGCGAGAGAAAGAGCAAGGTATAATTATTTTTCAGAGGCAATTAATTGCTTTAAGTGTTTGCAATATGAAAAAAAAAAAAGCTTCTACATCAGGATCTGATGAAAACTTACCTGTATTCTGCTCGCCTTCCTAGAAGTAACAGCTGTAGTGAGAAGAAAGCCTTGTGCTTTCCTTTTATAGTGGATGGTGTGTAATTTATACCTTGAGGATTTGCAGTGTATTAATGCAGCAAGCATTAGTTTGGGACTTGGTGAAAGCGGATTAATGTTCAGCCAGACAGTGAGATTAAGCCTTGTTGAGAGGAAAAAAGAAAAGCTAAACACACTGGGGAAGAGATGGTGAAGGTTACTGTCACAGTGTCTCTCTACACATGTCACTGGATTTGATTCAGTGGCATTTAGAAATAGCTGAGCCGTTTCACAGTTTGAAAAAAAAAATAGGTTGAAAAGCTTATTTTTGGAAATGAAAAGTTCAGGTGTTTTGACTTCTTGGTCAGCCCTCAAAGTGATAGGCTTGGGGTGCAAGCTGGTCCTTGGGCAGTGGAGGACCCTTCACTGCTGTAGTTTTTCTTAGCTAATGACCATTTTCTTGTTTTCTTTTCAGGGCATCAATTTTAATTGGTTTTCTCTGAGTTCTGTCTTACCCAGTGAGCTGCATATGTATTTATTCAGTGATCCAATAAAGCTAGTTATGTGAATTTTGTTAAACCATGAAGAACTCCTCTTTTCTTTGCCATTCTTTTCTAGCCCAGTATATTCAGCCCTGGTTCCTGTCTGTTGCATGGTCACATTTTTTAACTTATGTGAGGGATATTTGTGTTGTGGGAAGGGACTATTAGGATGTCATAATGAGGCTCCAGATTTGTGTTTTTATGCCAGTGATCTCTGATGAAATATTTTAGTGTTTCAGGGAAAATACTAATGTTTTCAGCTGACAGCTATGCAACCTCAACTTGAATATATTCCCTGCATTCACAGGTTAGGGATGTGCGCCTCTTCACCAGAATAATGACAGAGAGAGACCTCTGTAGAGCTTCACATACCAGTTCTGGGGAAAATGACTCACAGCAGCACTGTATTTACTATTATCTGCCCAGAACAGCCAGTCTTGCTTTGTTATGACTGTTCTATTATGGTCAGTCTGACTTTTACAGAAATCCATCCCTGAAAGAAAACTAGACAAGGACATAGAGTTAAAAGCATTTTATCATGAAAAGAAATTCTCACTGGCCTATTAGTTTCCTGCAGACGGGATACTTTTCAAAGAGGCTTTTACAAATGAGCCCTTTAAGTGTGTCATACCTTCCTGTGGTCCTGCAGACTGGCCATCTGTTCCAGTTTCCATGCACTCTGCAGAACCTTCATTTGTAAATGAATTTTGCATCACGCCAAAGTTAGAAAGTGAGCTGAAATTTTTCCCTGGACATCTCCTGTGTTAAGAATTTTGTTTGAATGAGAAGACAGTTCACTTAAATCTATAAAGAAGTCAAAAAATTAGACATCATCTTTTTGGACTAATATAAACCCTGTGATTGATAATGTGTCGTTTTGTGTCGTTTAGTGTCAACACAGTCTGTCTTCTCAGAGGAGGTTCTCGGTTGCTGTAAATCTCTAATTCCAGAGATGCCAGACAAAAGCTGATTACTTTTCTTATATCCCTACTGAGGATCTGATCTTTTCTAAGTACTAATTTATGTAAATTAAAAAAGACTAAATAAGTTTCATTTGCCGAGGACAATTCAGAAAATATCTGATCTCTCTGTTGCAACGACCTGTTTCATTTTTGAAGAAATTACACACATTCACTAAAACGTAGTTCACAAGCAGACAGTGCAAGTTTAGCTCCTGCCATGTCCTTCCTTCCCTGCCCTAGCTCCTTGCACTGTCCCACCCAGCCTTCCCACTTGTGGAGACACAAATTAGGGAAATAATTCTATTAAAAGAGCTGTATGAGCTCATGAAGCCACATTGTAAACACAATACAAACACTAAAGTGGGAAGATTTGTCCTGAGCTGATTTCAAGGGTCTCAAGGGAGCACTGAATGATGAGGACCTCTGTTCTACTGGAGTTTGTGCAGGAATCTGGCAAATGCTGTCAAGGAGGATCTTCAACGTGAGCAAGGGGTTGGTGCATCAAAGTACAGGTGGTGCTGTAGATGAGGACTCACCAACAGAGGACATCAGAAATCAGATTTACATGGCTGTGTTAATGTCTTAGTGGTTTCTTGAGGAAATAAAAGGCTTCTTGTGTTGCTATCTTTTTGGTGTTCTTGGAGTCCCTTGGACTGCTTACTGTTGTAACCTAGCAAGCCACTGTCATCACCACTGTCACAAGGGAGATTTTGTTTTGCTTTTTTAATCACTTCAAATAGAAATGCTATCACATACTTTGCTCTTATTTCCCTTCTAGCAGCAAATGCTCTTTTTCTTCTGCTTGTGCTCTGGTGATTGGTGTTTTTGCTTGTTTTGGGGGTTTTGTGTGTGTGTGTGTGATACTGTTTTTTTGGTTTTGCTTGGGTTTTTTTTCCTTGCAAAAGCATCTAATACAGAACTGGTAGCTTTTATGTTCCTTATATGTTCTAAACAAATGGGATTGTTTTCTTCAAGTGTGGTGCTAAGACTAATGATCCTGTTTCTACAAGTTTTAACTCGTCTTGCTTAAAAGAAAGTAGTTTATATATCTAAGAGAACTTCAGCATCTGTCAAAGTGCTATTGGAAGACTTGTGTGCAACACATCCACCATGAGTAATAAATCTGACTCTGTCCTGATAGAAGATGTATTAAACCTTCTGGTGGGAAAAAACATGACTGATATAAAATACCTGGGACTATTCCAGCTGCAGCCTAGCTTTAGCTTCTAATGTATTCTTAAATACTTATGTATTCTTAAAGTTGTCAAGCAACATGGTTTTAAGTTTCTTATGCTCATAGTTGTTGTTACATGTTTTAGATCTTGCTGAATAGATACTGGGAGTAATAGCTTCTGCATATGAAAGCTGTTTTGCACTGAAAGTGTCTCAAGGCATGTCAAAAGTGCCTAAACCTATGGCTTAATTGACTTTTTGTGTGGTTCCACCAAGTGAGGATTTGGAGATTCAGTGCCATCATGCTGAGCATGTGCCTTGGCCAAGTCTCTTGGACACTGCCAGTCTTGACCAAATACTCTTCCTTTGCTCTTTCTGCGCTTGTTCTGCACAGTTCCAAATTGAACCTGAGGTATATTGCTGCTCCCCAGATGGATTAAATTGATATCCTTGAAGCACAAAGCTTGCAAATTGCTTCTGAGTCTGCGCTTCAGTCTGAGCTCCCTGTGTGGGGTTGGTATTTCACAGCACAGCAGCACAGGCCTGTGCTAAGTAAATTGACTGGAGTTTTGTTTTCCCCCTTTTGTTGCTGTTGTTTTTGTTGCTTGCTGCTGTTGGAAGATGACTTTTGTTGCTGCATTACCTCTCCAAGCCTTTGGGGTTTACTGTGATTCTTATTAAAATCAGTGGGGAGGCTCTCACAGGCTTTAGTGGTACCTGCAATGAGTGGTTGGTCACTGTTGGTCAATATAATTTTTACTGCTATTAAGTTGCTAGAATTAATAAAGCAGAACTGTGAAGTAGGTCGGGCCTGCTGAGCACATAGTTTAAACTAATTAGTGTCAGCTAAAGACTTAATCATTAATGACAAATTTGTAGGAAAGCAGAATATTTGATCCTCAGGAGACTAAAGAAACTGTCAGAATGGACTGACTGTGTTTTTAGTAGCACAGGATTTTAGAAATCTCTGGAGATACAATTTTCCATTACTTGGAGCTAAGGTTATATATACCATATTTTCAAATACCAACAGAAGCTGTTAGTCTTTCTGAGTGGAAATCCTGCTTGCAGTCAACAGCAGCAGAAACTAAAGATTCTGGAAAGTGTTTGATAAACACAGAGCAGTGCAAGCAACAATACAGATGTTTATGCTGTCATTCAGTCATCTCTCTTGTAGTTTCTGTCTCACACGACATAAATTCATTCATGGCTGATTCTTATGCCACTTTGCTAAGTATAGAAACCAGCTGCATTTTCTTAGGCTTTTTAGTGATGGCATTCTTATATCCTTTATCTTGCAGAACCACAGTGTGATCTTGGCTCCTTATATAAGATCATTTGGTAACTCCATTGGTATCTGTTAAGAAATATCTGTTAAGATTCTGCTCAAGAGTAAACCAGGGATAAAAATTATATGTTTGATAAAAATGCTGTCTCCCTATTTCTTTCTTTGTCATTCATTCATTTTCACTTGTCATGTAGTTTCTGAATATTTTAATTTTCCGATGAGAAATATTTTTTTTTCCTTTTTTGTGTGTAAGTAGAAGTTTTGATTCTGTGACTGCCCTGGAGTACCACTGTTTTATTTTAAGCTTTCCTGAGTATTATAGTGTTTTTCAACAAGAAAGCATCGTAATGGATTTAAAAGGATTTAAAATAGATTAGTCATATTAGAAAAGTGACAAAACAAAGGAAAGACCTAATGGACAATATATAAAATTATACAATTCATGATCAGCTAGGGTTTCCTTTTTGTTACCTGAGCAGTTCTTGCCTCTGTATGGATTTGTCGTTATGCTATTGAGAACAGCAGACAGATAATCAAAAAGAAAAAAAGCAAATAAACATTTCTAAATATTCACTTGAAAAGTCAAATCCAATTTGAGGGGTTTTTTTATTGTTATTTAACTTTTATGTTAATAATATTTCAAA